GGGGCGGCAGAGGCACTGGAGGGCTCCGCAGGCTTCCGAGGGCGCCTTCCCTTCCCCTTCGGACCCGCGTGCGAGCGACGTGGGTCTCCCCCACACACGCCTCCTTTTCCCCTCTTTGTTGTATCATTGCAAATCTTGATGCGTGGCATTGTTTCAGCACAGAGGGGTTTATATGATACGACTGGAGACGGTTAATGCTCTTAGAGTGCCGAAAATACAGAAAGGAAAGAAGAAATTCTAACAATGTTAAGTGCCATTTAGGACGTCAACATTACAAGCATAAAACTATTCTGCTTTTTCATCCCGTTAAATGTAACAACTTGCATCAAAGTATTGATTATATGATAATGATTTCGATCTTAAGCGAATGACTCAGTATTAAAATCTCTACTGTATTGTTACTTTATATAGAGACAGACAGACAGACCGACAGACAGACAGATATAGATGGGGAAAAAGGGAGATGAAGCAAATTTAACAAACGTTAAAATAACTAAAAAGTAAAATGAAAGAAATGAAGATGATGATGATGATGATGATGATGATGATGATGATGATGATGATGATGATGATGATGATGATGATGATGATGATGATGATGATGATGATGATGATGATGATGATGATGATGATGATGATGATGATGATGATGATGATAATAAAAAGAAGAAGAATTATTGGTTTCTGACTCCCTTCTTATAGATTTGCTAATTCGTGATATTTTGGACATTCAGGCCCCCTTAAAAGCCAGACTGCAGGTGGTTATATTTACCATGCTGCGTGACGCATTGCATGGGAACCAGTCTTGCTTAAATTTAGTTAAACTTCTATACTGTTAGTTTTGCCATTGCTGCATATTGGTCTCCCCCACTTCTAAATATCAAACAGAGCTGTCAAATTGTTTTGTTTTTGGAGTTGCAATATACCTGTTTTGCTACTGGAATTTGGCACGGTGATCTGTCATTGTTCTGGGGGCCCCCAAAAAAGGGGCTGGGGGAACAATATACAGGGGGAAGCTATGAGTTCACCACTTCTGAAGTTTATATAATTTTTATTAAGAATTTTGATTATAATAGTAAAATCTAATATAAACTAAACTTAAAGAAAGAAAAGGGAATAGAGAGGAGTAAAAAGTGCATGGAGAAAGAAAAAAAGAAAGAAAGAGAAAAGTAAGAATATAATAAAGAGAAAAAGTATATAAAGAAGTGACTTCCAACTTTCATCGCAAGTATAAATAAATTTAGTGACTCTTCACCCCGTCTAAAGTTACAAACATTTATCTCTTCATCCTATATTCCATCTCTTATCTATAAACAAATCCATAAAACATCATCTTTTCAGTCCTGGTGTCAGCAGAAAGTCCAGAAAGGGTTGCCGGAAGTAACAACATATCACGTTTTTACCTTGATCAAACAAATCAACTTTATATTCCTTCCTTTTACTTCTAACAGTCTTAATGTTTAGGTCATTCAAACATTGTCATAGGATTTGATTTCTCTTCATTTCTTCTTTGTCCCATCGCACAGAGTTCGTCAAGGCTTTAACAAGCCTCTTTTGAAAATCCAGTAGGAAAAAATTATCCAGGTCACTCCCTTGGACTGTCATTTGTATTTCCCTTTTAAATGTTAAAGCCTCGGCTAATTTCTTTTGTAGATCCCGTGAAACATCCTTTTCTGGATCATTCTCTTGGCCTGTCAGTGGTAAATCCACCTTTGATATCATCTCTATCTTGTCAGATAAAAGTTGTTCTACATCTGTCATTTCTTCGATAACATCTTTTGGACGTGGTCTATCCATAGAAGTAGACATCATTACTAACAGTGCCGATATTGTGGCTACTGTCAGATTCAGCCTAGGAAGCACACACTGAGCGCAGAGCCGTTGGTCAGTTTCACCGCCTCAGGCAATAGGGCAAGGGAGCAACCACTGCAGGGGGCGGCCAATTAGAAGTGGCAACACTGGAGCGCAGCTGGCTCCCCGGGCGCTCCAGTTTACAATACACTGGGAGCGCAGCGATCCAGAGGCAATCAGCGGGCAATTTGAACCCAGATTAAAACAGCCACTCCCACTCAACATGAGAAAGGCTCAAGGAATGCAAGGGCAAGACAGACAAAGGACGAAGATCGGAACAGGATCGAAACCGGCTGAATCTGCCATCAAGGCGAGGGGAAGGAAGATCCCCATGGACAGATGGGCAGCCCAGGGCGAGGGCGAGGGGCGGAACCGAGGGGTAACTGCGGGTCAAGGGGGGACCCCTATAAAACTGCTGTAAGAAACCACGCCAAGCCAGTCCTGGCTTTGTCTGTAACGGCTACGCATTACGCCTGAATAAACTAGCTTTCGTCCGAGCCTGCATCTCACGAGGTTTCTGCTCAGCGCCGAATGCAGCGAACCTTACAGCTACTATTTTCTGATTCCATCCTTTAAAGATCTCCTCCAGTATTTTCACTGTTAGGACGTTTTGCAGCACTTTGTAGGTTTGTAAATCTTTCCTCTACCTAAAAACATTAGTCGCCTCTAGTGTCCAGTTTTCAAAATCATGAAATTGCTTATCTTTGCTTTGTCTTTTAAAAACCAAAACAGGATCTATTTCCCACAAGAAGCTGTTTGTACTTTATAATTAATTCCA